TCAGTGACGCACCAGGTCAGTGACGCACCAGGTCAGTGATGCACCAGGTCAGTGACGCGCCAAGTCAGTGACGCACCAGGTCAGTGACGCACCAACGGTCAATAAAATTAACCAAGTCCGTAAACTATTCCCATACGACAAAGTCATTCAGAAGGAAACTAAATTATTGACAAGACATTAGGAAAATAAAGGTACGGTACAACAGGTACAGGCGGTCGTTATCATCGGTAGGAGCTGGCACTATGTTCACACTCACATGGAGGACGGTGGCACTGAGGCTCTTGACCCCTGACCCTCAACACCCCCAGGCACCTGACCCCTCCCTCAGCTCCCCAAGGCACATGATCATCCCCTCCCCAACATCAGACTCCATCTAAGTACTGTATACTGTATATACATCACGGTTCACAGGATACAACTAGCATCTCGGAGTTATAATTGGAAATAGGAGAGAAGGAAATCGCTGTGAAGAAATTCCCTATCCTCCAGAAATCTCAACAATTTGGGTTCCACAACAACTATTAAATAGGCTGAAGTAGATAGACATATTATAAGAGGAAAAATATGACCGTTCCTCCAGGTAACTGTGACTCATGCGATCAAATTCTAAACAACCGGGACAGTGATCTTCACATGTCAACGTTGTAAAAAAAAGACTCACTGAGAACTCTTAAATGTGTAGGATGTGGTGACCTCTTTAAAGCTCTCCAACAAAACATAGGAAATGACCTTGAGCAATTTTGTGTTCCTTTGTTAAGATTGAACAGGTTAAGGACTTTGGGGCTTGATTACTGCTGAAGAACATGAAGTCACGATGGATAAATCTGATAAAAAAGACAATAAACTGAAGCAAAAAATATCACAAGCTTGGTAATCAACACAAACGGGCTTTTTCAATAATATGCAAGAAATCAAGACGAATTCGACTGATAATGAGGCGTCAAGCGTTTACTGCAACACAATACCTTCATGATGAGCTGAAAGAGTAACTGGATATAGATAAACGCAAATACAACCTCATTATAGTGAATTTGGAGAGGCAGGAGAGATAATCAGATGAACAAGGAGTTAAGGATAAGAACGTCTGAAAAGATATTATAAACCCACAGTACAGTTAGTAAGAATCTCCTTCCCTAAATACAAGCACAGGAGGGATACCTAGAGGAAGATACCGAACCTCAAGCAATTAAGAGAATACAGTAATGTCTACATCACCCCCGACCTGATATTGCTGCTAATTTAGAGAAAACAAATTCCCAAAGGATACACGAGAGATTCTACTAACCCTCAAGACTCACAGCCTTCTAAGAGGACAATATTAGAAACCGGGCCAATCAAGTGGTGGTAAACTAATGCCAGAAGTCTAGTTAATAAGATTGAAGTACGGAACACCCAGACATCGTTGGGATCAGCAACTCGAGAAGACATGTCGCCGAGTGAGTATCATTTACCAGGGTGTCGCCCACCATTCAGAAAGGAATGCCCTAAATGATTACTTTACATCACTGTCCGCAAGAGTCGCTGGATAACATGCCTGTGGTTGAGAATGAACTAGAGAGATAGCAAGCACAGGTGACAGCGTAAAAAATAACTTGAGCAGTGGACGGAACACAGACCAGGGTGATACAGGAGGCAGCAAACCAGATATGCACTCCAGTAAGAACTACTATTCAAGAAATCCCTGCATCAAGGAAAGGCGCCAACGTCACCCCCATAATACAAGATGGGTAGAGCCAGTTCAGCAGAAAGGTATAAGCCGATCATATACACAAACTCCGAGAAAATTCTGATGGAGGCCATCATTTAACACTTGACCGAACAGTCTTATTGCCACATCACAAACACGGTTTCATGGAGAGAAAATCCAGCCTGGCAAACTTATTTTCCTTGAATTGGTAACAGACTACGTGGACCAATGCCTACCAGTGGACGTGTTGTACATATATTTCTCAGGTATTTAACAAAGTCCCACCAGTACGACTCGTCTCTTAAGATACAGGTATATGACATTACAGGCAAAATACAGTATTGGAGTGGATTAGCAACTGCCTCGAAGACAGACAACAAAGGGTGGTCGTAAACGGAGTACATTCATGATAGGAAAATGTTCTCATTGGAGTACCAAAAGGATCTATCCTTGGACACAACCAGTTTGTGATCTACATAAACAATAACATAGACGAAAATATATGAAGATGGTAAAATGATAAGCCAAGAAGATTTCGCAACTGTGAATTGAGATCTGCACAATCTGTTCAAATGGTCGGAGGAATAACAAATGATTTTAAAAATAAAAAATAAGTTTCTCCATATGGGATACAACAACCCGAACCATAACTATTCTGTCAATAACACTTTTTTGGGATACTGTTCATAAGGAAAGAATATCTAGGCGTCGTGACAGCTCAATCACTGAAGGCAGTGCACCATGGAACAGCAATGATAGAAATCGATTTTTTTTTTTGGTGGGGGGTTACACGTAGTTCCCTCAAATACAGAGATAGGAAAATGCCCATTCAACTTCTTAAATCTCACAGAACCTCACCTAGACTACTGTAAACAGACATAATAATCCCAAAATGGAGTAACAAAAAAGCGACTTAGATTATTCCTGACCTGAATCATCTCGATTATCTGCTCTTGCCTTACTACTAACAGTTCTTCAGACAAGATGGGAAAGGAATGGGAAACATAAACCAGAGCCATATTGTCATGTCACGTACCACCAACACGAGGGGACAAGGTGTCATGCAGGACGGATAGAAGGAACAGTCTATCAGCTCAAGCTCTTAAGTGTGAACAGTATGGGGGTTGAGAACATCCCTTGACAAGACTCATCCAGAACAATGGAAGGATCCTACACAGACCACTGGCTTCCTTCCCTCGACATGGCCACCTTCCCTCGACATGGCCACCTTCCCTCGACATGGCCACCTTCCCTCGACATGGCCACCTTCCCTCGACATGGCCACCTTCCCTCGACATGGCCACCTCTAGTTTTGGGAGTTGGCCGTTGGGTAAATAAAGGTGTATTTCATTATATCTCACCATCAATCACGATTATATCCTCACCAACAACTACCATCATCATCATCATCATTATCACCATCACTCAGTAACATTGTCACTATCACCATCCACAATCATCATCATTATCATTTCCATCATTATCACACACCACCAGTCACTTACACCCTCATTACCAACACACCATCATCGTCACTATCAACATCACTATCATCTTCATTACTATCACTATTGCTGATATTATTCACCATCATCACTAACCGATTCATCATATCACTATCACCAAGAATCACCATTACCGTCACTATCATCCTCATTACACACCATCATCGTCTTTTATTATTTTCATTACTCACCATCATTATCACTATCACCACACACCATCGCAATCACCATAATCGGCATTATTATGACTCACCATCGTCACAAGCATTATCAATCACCATCGTTGTCACCATCAATCACTAACATCATCACCTCCCCATCATCACTCAATATCATCGTCACCATCACTATTCATCATCATTATCAACACACCATCCTATGATCACTCATTATCATCATCACCCTCATCTCTTATCGTCAACACATCATCATCCCTAATTATACCATTATCACCATCATTATCACGCATTATAATCATCCTAACTCATCATCACTCATTACCATCATCACAATCATCATCACCATCACTCACCATTATCTGCCTCTTGACCGTGGGAGTTTAAAGCACCCTGAACATTGTATTTATTCGTTTGTTTTACGACGTTAGGTGTTTGGACCCTTATTGTGTGTGTGTAGGGGGTCACCTGTACACTCTCTCACTAAACCTGTATTCACCTTGTGGGTTTATTATATATCCGAAAGAAAAGTAAGAAAACAATGAGAAGCGATCATACAGCCACCAACTCCTCTCACAAGAAAATCAATATCGTCCGTCCCTCCTTCTTGTTGTTGTTGTTGTTGTTGTTGTTTTGCATACATACGCTTCAGTAGGTGGAAATGACCCATATGTATGTATGTATGTGTGTGTGTGTGTGTGTGTGTGTGTGTGTGTGTGTGTGTGTGTATCTCTCCTTATTGTTAACTGGGGTCGTGATAACTAAGTGATTTTGTATAATTGCCTGTTTGGATATGTTTGGGATGCATGATGCAAAGAGAGAGAAAGAGGTGTGTGTGTGTGTGTGTGTGTGTGTGTGTGTGTGTGTGTTTTTAAATTTTAGTTCATGACTTTTTCTTCATGGGTTGTACATTCCAAGATTTGCAGAGCATGACATAAGAGGGTCGCTTAACTATATCATGTAATGGTGTTTATAGCTTCGATAGAAAAAAATGTTGGACAGATGAGAGAATCTAAGGGACAGTACGAGAGAGACGGAGAAGAAGGCAAAGCGAGGCATCTGTCACATAACAAATGACAGTATTCCATCGACAGATTTTTCAAAAGAACCTACCTCAAAGAATTTCTTACGCTCTATCCTGCCAGTTCCCAAGTAATGACGTAGGTCTTGCTACACACACACACACACACACACACACACCCTAAGCTTTCCTTCACAACATACTCCATAATCATCTACGGCAAGGGCAGGACAAGGGTGGACGCCTCAACTGACACTTGTGGTAGCCTGAGGTACGGAGGCTGGGACCTGGTGAAGATACGACAGCAGGGGAAACACTGCACTCTTGCTCCCACGCACGCGTACCACATCACCACCTCGCCTCCTTTTGGAAACCTTTCTTCTTTATAACTGCTTCATCGACGAACTCGGAGACGCAGACACACAGATCGCTGGTGTAAGTGAGCCGCGATATACGTAAACAAGATAATAATCGACGATCTAGGAAAGTTGAGAACGTTTGCTACATTCTTCATCTCCGGCACCAGAAATGAATTGCTAGGCTGTTGGGTTGCTTCCAGCAGGTTTTTCCCCTTCCCTCAGCCGTGTTTGTCTGAGGGCGCGAGAACTGACCTAGTGCACACTCCAAGAGGAGGCCGAGAAGCAGAGCGGCCAGGGGGACGCCGCCTCCGCTCCTCATCTCGCATCACAAAGCAGAGGTACGTGGATGGCCGCACAAAAGGTAGATGATAATGGTCCAGGCCGCGTGACTAAACACTGCCAGAGTCGCGCGGTTACTGTCCGCCCGCCCAGCTGAGCTCCCAAGCTTCCACACGTCGCCACCGGGCGCCCCCATCCAATGCACAGACGCAGTTCTCCCCTTACCCCGTCACTACCACATGTCATGTCATATTATTATCCCGGCAACCACAGGTGATGTCGCTTTAACTTACCACTACCACAGGTGATGTCCCTTTAACCTACCACTACCACAGGTGATGTCCCTTTAACCTACCACTACCACAGGTGATGTCCCTTTAACCTACCACTACCACAGGTGATGTCCCTTTAACCTACCACTACCACAGGTGATGTCCTTTAACCTACCACTACCACAGGTGATGTCCTTTAACCTACCACTACCACAGGTGATGTCCTTTAACCTACCACTACCAAGTTTTTCTACTCCAGGTGATGTCCCTTTAACCTACCACACCACAGGTGATGTCCTTTAACCTACCACACCACAGGTGATGTCCTTTAACCTACCACTACAGGTATGTCCTAACCTACCACTACCACAGGTGATGTCCCTTTAACTTACCACTACCACAGGTGATGTCCCTTTAACCTACCACTACACAGGTGATGTCCTTTAACCTACACCTACAGGTGATGTCCTTTAACCTACCACTACCACAGGTGTCCTTTAACCTACCACTACCACAGGTGATGTCCTTTAACCTACCACTCCACAGGTGATGTCCTTTACCTACCACTTTAACCTACCACTACAGGTGATGTCCCTTTAACCTACCACTACCACAGGTGATGTCCTTTAACCTACACACCCCCAGTGATGTTAACCTACCACTCACAGGTGATGTCCTTTAACCTACCACTACAGGTGATGTCGCTTTAACTTACCACTACCACAGGTGATGTCCCTTTAACCTACCACTACCACAGGTGATGTCCCTTTAACCTACCACTACCACAGGTGATGTCCCTTTAACCTACCACTACCACAGGTGATGTCCCTTTAACCTACCACTACCACAGGTGATGTCACTTTAACCTACCACTACCACAGGTGATGTCCCTTTAACCTACCACTACCACAGGTGATGTCCCTTTAACCTACCACTACCACAGGTGATGTCCCTTTAACCTACCACTACCACAGGTGATGTCCCTTTAACCTACCACTACCACACGTGATGTCGCTTTAACCTACCACTACCACAGGTGATGTCCCTTTAACCTACCACTACCACAGGTGATGTCCCTTTAACCTACCACTACCACAGGTGATGTCCCTTTAACCTACCACTACCACAGGTGATGTCCCTTTAACCTACCACTACCACACGTGATGTCGCTTTAACCTACCACTACCACAGGTGATGTCCCTTTAACCTACCACTACCACAGGCGATGTCCCTTTAACCTACCACTACCACAGGTGATGTCCCTTTAACCTACCACTCCCACAGGTGATGTCCCTTTAACCTACCACTACCACAGGTGATGTCCCTTTAACCTACCACTCCCACAGGTGATGTTCCTTTAACCTACCACTACCACAGGTGATGTCCCTTTAACCTACCACTACCACAGGTGATGTCCCTTTAACCTACCACTACCACAGGTGATGTACCATTAACCTACCACTCCCACAGGTGATGTTCCTTTAACCTACCACTCCCACATGTGATGTACCATTAACCTACCACTACCACAGGTGATGTACCATTAACCTACCACTCCCACAGGTGATGTTCCTTTAACCTACCACTCCCACATGTGATGTACCATTAACCTACCACTCCCACAGGTGATGTCCCTTTAACCTACCACTACCACAGGTGATGTACCATTAACCTACCACTACCACAGGTGATGTCCCTTTAACCTACCACTACAAGAGAGCTTCAGTATGTTATATTTGACGAAATAAAACTACACACACACTCAGGTGAGGGTGTATTATGTGGCCGCAACACTACACTAGTATATAACTCTATACAAAAGTCTCTCGTGCAAACTACCAAAACAAAACACTAAAAACATATCGGTGTAATGGATTAATTTATATAAATAAACACACAGACAGTAGAAGATTATCAGATGTTCGTCCATAAACACTGACTGACTACTGTCGTGTTCTGAGAGAGAGAGAGAGAGAGAGAGAGAGAGTGTGTGTGTGTGTGTGTTTAAGAGAGTATTAATGTTTTCCTTTACTTAGTGTGGGTTACATCAAGTGGGGTGAGGGCCGGAGTGAGGGAGGCTCGTTCACCAACAGTCTGGCAGAAACATAGATCAACCCCTTGTTGCCGGTAATCGTTTTCTCTCTCTTAATTGTTAATCTATGAGGTCTGGGTAAATGATTCCAGGTGGGTCTGGTCTGGTGTTTAAAAATGACCGCCATTCGCATAAGTAGTTTCAGGTCCAGCTCTCCACAAGTCAAATGGTGGTGCTATTTAATGGTGTTTCCCTCATATTATCATCTATATTTTATCAATGATGAACATTTCATGTGATTTCTCCCTGTTCTAACATGAGATGTCTCTGTGAGTTGGGGGTTCGAATATGTTCCACCTGTGACTCATCGCAAACTCACCGTCTCAGAATGCCCCACAGGAAAATGATGACAGATAAATGGGCACACTGTTTTAGTTGTTTCAGGTAAAGGTGATCTATTCTACCAGTGTTATGAAAAAATTGATTAATTGGATCATTGCAGTGCTCTTTTACGGAATACAGTCAAAACGTTCTAGTGGTGGCCAACTTGTGTTTATATTTACATAGGCGACCTGTGGTGTAATGGTCAGCATGCTCGCCTGGCAAGCAAGTGGACCTGGGTGCGATCCCTGGGCAGGGTGAAACTATGGGCAAGTTTCTTTACGCCATTTTCCTCTGTCTACCCAGCAGTAATTGATAGCCTGGATGTTAATCGATTTGCGGATTTGCGGATCGTGTTCCGGTCTTCTGGGAATATTCCTTAGCACTGGGTCATGCAACTCGTTAACTCGGGGTGTGGTTGTTGTGTTGGCGACAGTTTCTACACTTTAAACAAATCCACGCCTAAATGTGACTGAATAATGTATGACTTGATTTTTATTATGAATATAACAATATTTGTTCTTCGTGTGTCAGTGACTCATAATATTAATGATTATTCTGGTAAAAACATTCCAAGATTACATCGTTTGTTAGTAAAATCCTGAGTCAGCAAAGTTGTTCAAAGTACCAACTGCTGAGACAATACATGTTTATGCCAACAAGATGATTAAATGTTGTATTTCCTGAGTCAGTATAATTGAAATATTTGCGATTTAATATGCTAAGGGTACCTGTAAATAATCATCAATATCTCAAGTTGACCAAGAGCTCCACACCGACCTGGAAATATTGAGAGACACTATAGACTATGAATCAAAAGAGAAAATAACTATTACCGACATTTTGGGGTCAAGGGGAATTTCCCCATTTATCTGCCGGACTATTACTCGATAACCTCAATGTTCTTATTGTTACTTTAAAGTGATCCTTATCTCCGTTTTTTATCGTTCTAGATGAAATAATAAGCATCTTAAAAACCTATTAGCTAAGGAGACGATTACCTGGTATGGTTGATGGGTAATAATGCGTAGTTTAATTCATAACATCAATTAAAAAACTCAAAATATAACACCCTTATAAATGCCGACCGAGAAAATTAATGATGTACTGAATAAAAAATAGTTCAAGTTGAGGTACTGTTATGCCGAGGTATAATTTAGCATTATAATATTTGTAAACTACGTGTTCTCATTATTTTCTATTCCAAGCAGCAGTTATTTTGACAAGTTTTGGGATATTTTGTAAGAATTTACTAGAATGTATTGCATTATTTTTTTTTATGATTACTTACGTATTGTGAGCCTAGATCATTCTAGAACTCACCAGGCGTATCTCGTTCTGACCTGCAACACCTGGATGTCACTAGAATACTCCAGGCCCTTGAGAAGACGTACTGTATAAATAGCACCAGCGAGACGTCTGGGCAGACGTATTTAAGCGCCAGCAGGCTGCCTTTGAAGTAGTCGCCCGTTTCTGTTCAGAGTGAAGTACAAGCCAAGTGACAACTAAAGATAATTGTTGTTCAAGTCATGTGGAATTGTTGTGAGTGATATAAAGTAAAAAGACTTAGGGAGTGTACACTGGTAGAGTGCTGACTGTATAATATATTCGAAGTGAGAAGTCCAGTGGTAAAGACATACCCTGTGAACAGTGTTGTGAAGATTTAGTGATTATTAAATTCGACTACAGTTCACAAGTATGTTTCTGTGTCCTGGTGGAAATCTACCTGCCTGTTGTTTTTCTGTACACCGATACCGATTACTGGGAAATTGCCGGAGACTGGCGGACAGCCAGTGGTAATTCGACTTCAATTGTGAGACATCTACTGCTTCTGTATCTACGACCCTGGCCACTGGTAACCAGTGGTGGACGTCGGTAAGCGGAGAAAGGGGTGCCTAACAGTACCAATCAAATGAGACTGTTTCCAATTTCACATTCTCTTTCAATTAAAGTTTTCCAGTTCCTAAATATTCATTCGACATCCCAGAATATATAGGTTAGGTCAGGAAGGCTACATTAGGTAGTTTACGTTAGGTTAGGTCAAGTTAGGTAAGGTTAGGTAAGCTAGGTTAGGTAGCTAAATGTTAGGTTAGGTTAGGTTAAGCCAGGTTAGGTCAGGTAAGGTAGGTTAGGTAAGGTAGGTTAGGTAGGTTAGGTTAGGTAGGTTAGGTTAGATAGGTTAGGTTAGGTAGCCAAATGTTAGGTCAGGTAAAGTAGGTTAAGTCGGGTCGGTTTAGGTTATGTATAAGTTAGGTTAGGTCAGGTTAGGTCACTAGGCTTGTACTTCACTCTGAACAGAAACGGGCGACTGTTTCACCTTGACTTGACACCTGTAGATGAGGATAAAGAGATACTGCTTGTTGGGTGGGGGGGGGGGTTGGAAGTTCTTTGGAGGTGCGAGGGGGAGGGGATGGGTTTTAGAAGGTAAATGAGGAGGAAATTTGAAGGAAAGAAGGAAAGTAAAGATATCT